GGCCTTGAAAAAATATTTTTAAAAAATCCACGTTTATTGATATGGCTTGAAAAAATATTTTGAAAAAATCCAAGTTTGTAGATAGGCATTGAAAAAATATTTTTGAAAAATCCACGTTTATAGGTAAGCCTTGAAAAAATATTTTTAAAAAGTCCACGTTTGTATATGGGCCTTGAAAAATATTTTTAAAAAATTCACGTTTGTATATGGGCCTTGAAAAATATTTTTAAAAAATTCACGTTTGTAGATAGGCCTTCAATAAATATATTTAAAAAATCCACGTTTGTAGATATGCCTTGAAAAAATATTTTTAAAATAACCACGTTCAGTAATAGGCCTCAAAAAATATTTTTAAATTAACCAGGTTCAGTAATAGGCCTCAAAAAATATTTTTAAGAAATCCACGTTCATTATTGGGCCTTGGAAAAAATATTTTTATAAAATCCACGTTCATTAATGGGCCTTGGAAAAATATTTTTAAAAAATACACGTGTATGGATAGGCCTTGAAAAATTATTTTTAAAAAATCAATGTGTATGGATAGGCCTTAAAAAATATTTTTAAAAAATCCACGTTCAATAATGGACCTTAGAAAAATATTTTTAAACAATCCACGTTCATTAATGGGCCTTGGAAAAATGTTTTTAAAAAATCCATGTTTATAGATAGGCCTTGAAAAAATATTTTTAAAAATCCACTTTTGCAGAAAGGCCTTGAAATAATATTTTTAAAAAATCCACGTTAAAAGATATGCCTTGAAAAAATATTTTTAAAAAATCCACGTGGCTTGGAAAAATATTGTTTAAAAATCCTAGTTTGTAGATGGGCATTGGAAAATTATTTTTATAAAATCCACGTTTGTAGATTGGCCTTGGAAAAATATTTTTAAAAAATTCACGCTTGTAGATGGGCCTTGCAAAATATTTTTAAAAAATCCACGGTTATAGATAGGCCTTGGAAAAATATTTTTAAAAAATCCACGTTTGTAGATGGGCCTTGGAAAAATATTTTTAAAAAATTCACGTTTGTAGATAGGCCTTGGAAAAATATTTTTAAAAAATCCACGTTTGTAGATGGGCCTTAGAAAAATATCTTTAAAAAATCCACGTTCATTAATGGACCTTGAAAAAAATATTTTTAAAAAATCCACGTTTATAGATAGGCCTTGAAAAAATATTTTTAAAAAATCTACGTTCAATAATGGGCTTTGGAAAAATATTTTTAAAAAAAATCCACTTTCATTAATGGACCTGGAAAAAAAAATTTTAAAAAATCCACGTTCATTAATGGACCTTGAAAAAATTATTTTTAAAAAATCTACGTTCAATAATGGGCTTTGGAAAAATATTTTTAAAAAAAATCCACTTTCATTAATGGACCTGGAAAAAATAATTTTTAAAAAATCCACGTTTATAGATAGGCCTTGAAAAAATATTTTTAAAAAATCTACGTTCAATAATGGGCTTTGGAAAAATATTTTTAAAAAAATCCACGTTCAGTAATGGCCCTTGATAAAAATATTTTTAAAAAATCCACGTTCATTAATGGCCCTTAATAAAAATATTTTTAAAAAATTCACGTTTATAGATAGGCCTTGAAAAAAATATTTTTAAAAAATCCACGTTCATTAATGGGTCTTGAAAAAATTATTTTTAAAAAATCCACGTTCATTAATGGGTCTTGAAAAAATTATTTTTAAAAAATCCACGTTCGTAGAAAGGCCTAGAAAAAATTTTTTAAAAAAATCCACGTTTATAGATAGGCCTTTGAAAAAAAAAATTTAAAAATCCACGTTTATAGTTAGGCCTTCAAAAAATATTTTTAAAAAATCCACGTTGATTGAAGATAAAAAAATATTTTTTAGAAAATCCACGATTGTAGATAGGCCTTGAAAAAATATTTTTGAAAAATCCACCTTCATTAATGGGCTTTAAAAAAATATTTTTAATAATCCACGTTCATTAATGGGCCTCGAAAAAATATTTTTAAAAAATCCACGTTTATAGATAGGCCTTGAAAAAATATTTTTAAAAAATCCACGTTCAATAATGGGCTTTGAAAAAATATTTTTAAAAAATCCACATTCAATAATTTTAAAAAATCCACGTTCATTAATGGACCTTGAAAAAATTATTTTTAAAAAATCCACGTTTATAGATAGGCCTTGAAAAAATATTTTTAAAAAAGCCACGTTTGTAGATGGGCCTTGAAAAAATATTTTTAAAAAATCCACGTTTATAGACAGGCCTTGAAAAAATATTTTTTTATCCCTAGAATTTTAAAAATGGTTTTTTTTAAATATTTTTTGAGTATCGAACTAAAAAAACACACAAATGATAATCACATAAATTAATTGTTGGGGTTGTTTTGTTTATTATTATATTTTTAATCATTATCATTTTTTTATTATTATTTTAATTTGTTATTAGGCACATCTCTTGTTTTTTATAATTATTTTATATAAAAAAAGTATTACTTAATTTGTTTTGTTGTTCTTAAACAAAGAAAAAAATAGAATTTTTTAATTGTTTTACTTCTTAAGCTTAGGTTTTCTAAATAAAAAAGTAGTATAAAAAATACTTATAAAAAACATTTTTATAAAATTGATGTTCAATTTTCCATATCTTCTATGTGTATATATATAAAAATATATATTCTGAAGAGAACAAATGCTCCGATCCTTAATTGGACAAAAAAAAGTTTTCCTTTTTTTCTCTCTTGTGCGAATACCACTTTTGTTTGTGGTATTCGAAAAAAAAAAATAATATTTTCCTAATATTGTTAATGTTGTTGTTGATGCAGATGACGATTAATGCAGTGAAATGTGTTCTGGGATTCATCAAAGGCTTTCGTCAATGTTCTCCTCGCAGAAGTTCCATTAGTAAATTGAAATCGCCACCATCTCGAGATTTTATCGAGAGCATTTCCTTACCAAGCTGTGAAGAAGAAAACAAAGGAATAAAATTTAAATTTGATTTTATTTATTGAAAAAAAAAAAAAATGAACTCACCTGACAGGTCCTCTGTAAATCCGGTATGCGCAGCAATAATTCACCAAATTTCGATGGAGTTTCCGGATAATGGGCCAATGTATAGGCCTGCAAACTTTGCAGGGCCTTTTCTTGGCACTCTCGTACCTTGACGGGCTCTTGGAGTTCAGAAGTATCTGAAAAAACATAAAGAAAAAAAAAACAAATTAATAAACTAGGACAATACAATATAGATAACAAATATATTTTGAAGGTCTTCTCGAAGATGGATTTTAGATTTTCAAGGATTAAGAATGAGGTTTACGAATTTTAATAAAAAATTTTCTCCAAAAAATAAATGCGTATTTTTTAAAAAATGTGTCTTAGACTAAATCTGGAATTTTTAAAGTACTTTTCAAGAATTAATCCTAGACATTTTTAATAATTTTTTTAAAGACTAATCCTGGATTTTTTAAACGTACTACGACCAAATTTCTTAGATCTCTTTGGAAGGTATAAACTTTTTTAAGAACTTTAAGGATTAAACGTGAAATTTTGTAATAAAATTTTAGAGGAACAACAAGATCTGGAGAGCTTAAATACAATTTCCCAGGGGCAACCACAGGATATCAAAAAAAAAAGAAAATAATAAAAATTGAGCGCTCCCCAAATTGATTTTCTGAGGGCAACCAGAAAACTCTTTAAATGAATTCGATAAGGGACAACCATATCCCTATATGTGGTCTGAAAAAAATACATTGTCAGAGGAGCAACCAAAGGCTTTTCAAATTGATTTTCTGAGGCACAAACAGAAGTTTTCAGAAGAGATTTGCAGGCTAAAGGCTTTTAAAAACGAATTCAGATGAGCAGCCAGACTCCTAATGTGGACCTGCTAAAATACAGTGGCAAGCAAAGACTTTACAAGTTGATTTTCTGAGGGGCAAAGAGAAGGTTTTAAAATAGATTTGCTCTTGGACAACCAGAAACTTTTTAAATAGAATTTTCGATGAACAACCTTACCACTAATGTGGACATCCAAAACACATTGTCTGAGGGGCAACCAAAGGCCTTTCAAATGGATATTCTGAGGGACAAAAGTAGGTTTTAAAATATATTATTTGCGGGACCATAAGACTCCCACTGCGGACTACTCAAATACTTTTTTCCTGAAACAACCAGAGGCTTTCCAAATAGATTTTCTGTGGGTCTTACAGAGGTGTCCACAACATATTTTTTGGGGATACCAGATACTCCTTAAATAGATATACTGAGAAACAACCAGACTACTAATTTGGGCTGGGACAACCAAAGACTTTCCAAATTGATTTTCTGCGAGACAACCAGAGGCTTTTGAAATAGGGTTTCTGTGGGACAACCACGGACTACTAATATTGGTTTGCTAAAATATATTTTCTCAGGGACGAACAAAAGCTTTCCAAATTGATTTTCTGAGGGACAACAAGAATACTGTTGCGGACTGTGGGACAACCAGAGATTCTATAAATTGCTAAAAAACATTTTCCCCAAGGACAACCAAAGTATTTCCAAATGATAGGGATAAACAGAGGTTTTCAAATATATATATTTTTTGTGGAACAAGACTTCTACCGTGGATTACCCAAATACTTTTTTAATTTTCTGGGAGACAATAAGAGATGAAAACCTCTACTTTTTAAATTAATTTCCTTAAGAAGCTTCAATTAGACCTCTAAAGATGGACTTTTGAAATAGATTTTCGGCAGAATATTCTGTCTTCTAAAAGTGGACTTTTCAAAAAGATTTTCTGAGGGACCGTCAGCTCCATAACGTAGAATTTTTAAATAAATAGCAAGTTAAAAAGCAATAAGTTCAGGCAGGCTGAATTTTGAATGCCCTCCAACATTTGGAACAAATTTAAAAATAAAAAAAGATGATTAATAAAGGTCCTCAAGGTGACCTCAAGCTCAAATAATTGTTTTTATTAACTATGCAAAAGGTCGAAAAACCAGAGAAAATATTTATAAAAAAAGATGAATAAAAATAAAAAAAAGAATCCCTTGAAAATTCTATTAAAATCTTAAAAATACTGAATATAGGGAATTACCGAGTATACCGTTCCGGAGAATAATGTATCTAAAACTATCAAAATACCGAATATAGCGAGATACCGTTATTTTTGGGCTGCATGCGCAATTTTCAGTCATAGGCTGAAGAACCCATTACGAACTTTAAATACGAAATTTGAAACAACTCCAGTGATTTATGTCGCTAAAATCATCAAAATACCGAATATTGGGAAGTACCGGTATATGGGGTCTATATGAAGACCTAGACCTGCATAGACAATTTTCTGTCATAGTCTGTAGTACCCATTGGGAATTTCAAATGCGAAATTTAAAACAATTCCCGTGAATAACGTCAAAATACCGAATATAGGGAGGTTCCGTTATATGGAGGCTATACGAAGACGTGGACCTGCATATGAAATTTTCTGTCATAGGCTGTAGTACCCAATGGGAACTTCAAATACGAAATTTGAATAAGATCCGGTGAATAATGTCGCGAAAATCATAAAAATACCGAATATAGAGAGGTACAGTTATATGGGGGCTACAATTAAACGTGGCCCTATATAGCCCATTTTCAATACCAAGACGAAAAACACATTTGAGTAAAATTTTATCAGTCAACTTCAATTCGTTGGGAAGCTAGAGTGATTTCCACAGATGGAATATTAACCGGAATATTGACCAAAGCGTATCTGACCTAAGACTGATATAAATATTACAACGTGCCATATATGGACAATATCGTCCACTTCCATACTTTAAATAAGATATGTGCAAATTTTTGGAAAATGTGAAAATATTGGTTAGGTATCAGATGTAGCGGACCGAAATATTCCAATTCATCTAATGCAATTAAAAATATTAGTATTTTGCAAAATTTCATAAATTTTGATAAATTACATATTCATATGAGATTTCTGGTTACGATGAATATTTAGATATAGAATGTTGTAAAGAATCACCGACTTTTTTCACATTTTATGACACATATAAGTATTGGAAATTGTGACCCTTTGTGGGGTCACAACACATCTTGCGTTGGATGTATGAAATTTGAAAAGACTTGGATGCTTATTTCGCTTTCTTTAAATGTTGAACCCTATGTGGGGGAGGTACCAGAAGAAATGGTCCGATCTCTACCATATTTATGACATATTTTGTGTTGATGGAAATATTAAGATGTAGCAAGTCTGACGTTATTTTTACCCTTTGTGGGGAGGTACCATAGGAGTGTACCGATATATCCCATAAAAAAAGAAGATATAAGAAAATATTGTGATGTGTGAATTATAATCGTTTTGGTTATTTAAATTTTTACCCTTTGTGGAGGAGGCAACTGACGGAAGGGTCCGATCTCTACCATTTTTATAACAGATTTTGTGTTGATAGAAAAATTTAGATTTTCCAGGTCTGAATGAAATCAGATGTTAATTTCGTGTTTTATAAGCTTCATGGATTATCAAAATTTTGACTCTTTGTAGAGGAGGTAGCAGAAGGACTGAACCGATATACTCTATCTTCACACCAGACCTTGGGTTAGGAAAAATATTGTGACATTTTATAAGAGTTATAATTATTCAACATTTTGACCCTTTTTGGGGGAGGCGGACCGATATTATCTATTTTCGAACCTAACCTAGAACTGATGCAAATATTAGGATTTGCAAAGTTGGGGCAAAATCGGATTATTCTTTTGCTTTCTGTGGGGGAGCTACCGGGGTGAGCTAGCAGAAGGAGTGGACCGATATTTCCCATCATATACGTTTAAAATTTATTTTAGATCGAATTTTTGGAGGCCTTCTTCAATGGATATTCAAGAGGAAAAAATTTGACTTTTCAAATACATTTTAAATCCTTTTTACAAAGCTCATCTCTAGAAGTTTTTAACTGATTTCAAAACTGTATTCTAAGTACCATGCCTGGACTTTTTAAATAGCTTTAAAAATCGACATTCTAAACCTATCAGCGGAATTTTTAAATTTAAGTTTTATGGTCGATCTATGGACTTTTTAAATTGATTTTGAATAGATTTTCCACGGACCAAATGGGGTCCTGTTAAATAGGGTTTCTAAGGCCTAACTATGGACTTTTCAAATCGAGTTTTAAGGCCAGATTCTGGGTCAAAGGGCTATATGTGAAATTCTAAACCGGTTTTCAAAGATGCTAACGATTATTTTTTTTTTAATTGAGTATCAAAGGACGTAAATGAAACATTTGAAACTCGGCTTCTTATGGCCTAAAAATTACTTCTTTAAATTATATTTTTTAAGGCATATCTGTTAACTTTTCAGATCGATCTTTAAGGTTAGACTCTGGACCCTTCACAGCGATTTTTACATCCATTCACATTTGATTTGCAAAGGTCTATATATGAATTTCTAAACCGGATTTCAAAAGTCCTAATGACTAAATGATTATCTAAGGTCCTAAGGATATCATTCTAAACTAATCTCCTAATGCCCTAAAAATTACTTATATTCCTAAGGTCCTAACTTATATGCCTAAGGTCCTACTGTGAAATTTCTAAATCCATCTTCGAAGGGACATTTAGAGCTGGATGATTTCAACCTACCCGATTGCAGTAGGACAATCACTTTCATTGCCACATATTCATAACGATCGACCCGTAAACGTCTTAAATGGTCTGTCAGATTCAGCATTCGTTCAATGCAGGGCTGGAAAAAAATACGAAAATAATTTTAATATTTTTTCGGTAAGACATAAATCCCATGAGGCTTACCTGAAAACCAGTTAATTTGGCCTGGGCCAGATTGATTGTTTTGCCCAAGGACATTTTAATTTCTCCCGGTACATCTATGGAACGATAGCAGCAAGAGAATAATAAAAGTTCACACCACGAATTGATGAGTAGGCAAATTTGATCGTCAATCTGGTGGGGAAGGGGAGAGAGAGAGAAAAATGATTAAAAAATTGCAAAAAATAAGGAAAAGGGTTTGGGGTCCCACCGAAATATTCTTGAATAGCGGCAGACTTTTACACCACTTCACAATCTTATAGAGACGATGATCGGCCACCTTACACAGATGGGCAATCAAATCGGGATTGGTACTCGACGACAGACCGGCACTGGCCAGCAGTGGATTGGTCATTTGCCTGCCAGCTGCAGATGAGGATGACGATGATTCGTTGGAGGATGAATTCAGGGAGGCCGACGATGATGAGGTGGTCAGGGGTTGATTGAGACGGGCCAGTTCCGCCTCATTATATTGCCATAGATGTTCAACATCCATTATCTCTTGGAGAAGTTGGGGAATACTGGAATTGGTGTGGGAAGCTGTAGAAGATTGTGGGCCGGCCTGATTGCGTGGCGAACTGTGTAGGCCATTGTTAAGAGAGGCGGCCGAGGGGAGGGGATGGGGAGCTGCAGCATTGCCATAGTTGTCATTAAGTTCGGTTTTAATGGTGGTCGCGTTGGTGGGGTTGGGAGTGTGACCTCCTCCTCCACCCCCAAAGCCATTGTTGGGAGAAGAATGCATTTGAGGCACCTGCTGATGGGGAGAATGTTGAGACGGATTTAATCTCTGTTGCAATTGATGCTGTAGCTGCGTTTGTTGTTGTTGCGTCAGGAGATTTTGCACGGTGGATTGGTGCTGCTGCTCCGGACTCAATAGGGGACTCATAATGGAATTCGGTAGGGTATATGAACATTGATAGGTGGAACGGCCACCCCGGGTACGATCCTCCCGTATGGCCTCCAATTTCATACCCTTCTGCAGACATTTATCAAAACGACAGGCCGGACACTTTTTGCGCGTGGTAATGCTCACGGCACAGGGCCCACCCCGAACACAGACATAGTTCTTGCGATTTTGGACGGTACGCTTGAAGAAGCCTTTGCAGGATTCACAGGAGAAAATGCCATAATGGAAGCCGGAAATTTTATCGCCACAAATGGGGCAGGGTGAGTTGATGAGCTGCTGGCGTGATATGCCCGCCGAGGCGGGAGAGGCTGGTAGGCCGGTTGTGGGATCGGTGGCCATGTTGAAAGCTGCCGCCGCCGCCGTTGCCGAGGAAGAGCATGACGAGGTGGCATCCATGGACAAATTCTGCACTTCATGGGAAACGCTGTCCATTTTTGCTGCCGCCGATGCCGTGGCTGCCGCCTGGCCGCCAGAACTACTGGCCATTGGACGGTAGAGTAAAGTGGAATGATGTAAACTATTGCCCGCCGAGCCGTTGTAGTTGCCGCCATAGATTGCCGCCGCCTGATGCCTGGCTTGTATGGGCGAATGGGTGGGACTGAATTCCGAGGAATACGAATAGCAGGAGCTGTGCGAAGCATCACTGTTGTTTCGCGACAGCGATGGCGTGTAGGGGGCGTGGCGTGACGTCAACGGCGATTGGGAGGGCGAGCTGTGCGTGTACACGGAATGTATGGCAGAATCGGGACTGGGATTGGCAGGTAGATGAGGCAAAGCTGTGGTGGACTTTTGGCGGGCCAGCAGGGGAGAATTCACCAGAGAGGCCACATGATCGGGTGGCTCATATTTCAGGTTGATCGGATCACTTTGAGTGGGTGCCAGCTTGAGTTTGGGGTGATATATGGCCGGGGTGGGATGTAAATCCAATTCGGGTTTAATCATTGGATCTTGGCCACCAGCCATTACCAGGCAGGGGGTGGTGGTGCTGGCTTCACTTTTTATTACCGCCACGGCATTTGAGGGTTCCTGGGGAACCATTGCTCCCGCTACTCCTCCTCCTCCTCCATTGCTCATGGTGGAATCTGTGTCCATGAGTTCAGCCTCCCGGGTAACCTCGTTGTCCGACAATTCTCCCTCCCAGGACATGGGCCGGGGCCCATTATGATGATTGCTGGTTGCCGGGGTGGTGGTGCTGGAGGGGGTTACCCTTCGTGTAACCTTTAGATTTTCAATATTGGTCAATTCTGTCTCGGAATCGGACTCCTCGGCCTTGGTCACCGGTATGCGTATACCATGGCCCGAAGTTATGACCCCTGTTGCCCCGGCCGCACCACTGCCGCCACTTACAATTGCACCACACCTCGAGCCATTATAAAACCCCACCGAAACTATATTGCCATTGGTCGTCGAATTGGAGGAGATGGAACCAGCCTCTTCCACTTCACATTTAATGTTCGTCACCGAAATGTTATTGCGTGTTGTTGTTGTGGTGGTGGTAATGACACCCCCAACGCCGCCGCCGCCCAATGATCCTGTGGTACACATATTCACCGGTAACTGGAAACTGGTTGCCGCTCCACCACCTGATGCCGTCACTGGTGAGCTGGTTGTGACCACAGCTGGACCCGAGATATTCTCCGTTTTTATTGTGGACATAATGGTGTGAGTTGTTGTTGTTGTATAAAAATTGAAGTCTTTTTTCTTTAATGGATTTTTGTATTCTTTTTTTTTTTTTTTTTTGAAGGGCGTTCCACGCCCTCCTTTTTTTTCCTTTTTTTGATTTGTTAAAAACTAATTGGCCTTTTGTTGTTGCAGTTGCAGAATTAAGTCTTTTTTTTTTAATTTTTGATTGTTGTCTTGTGCATTGCGATTTTTCTATAAAAATTTGATAAATGTCGTTGATCATGTAGTATCATGTTGTACCAGTGCCTGGAAGGAAAGGAAAAAAGGACATTTTTATTAGATTTTTCGGAAATATTTTTTTGGAAAAATATTTTTTTTAAAAATCCAGGCTTCCAAAATTAATTTAAAAATATTTTTTAAAAAATCCACACATCCAAAATTCATTGGGAAATAATTTTTTAAAAAATCCAGGCTTCTGATATTCATTGAAAAATATTTTTTAAAAAATCCAGGCTTCTGATATTCATTGAAAAATATTTTTTAAAAAATCCAGGCTTCAGATATTCATTGAAAAATATTTTTTAAAAAATCCACGCTTCTGATATTCAGTGAAAAATATGTTTTTAAAAAATCCACGCCTCCAAAATTCAATGAAAAATATTTTTTTAAAAAATCCAGGCATACAAAATTCCTTGAAAAATATTTTTTAAAAAATCCACGCTTCCAAAATTCATTGAAAAAGTATTTTTTTAAAAATCCACGCTTCCAAAATTCATTGAAAAAGTATTTTTTTAAAAATCCACGCTTCCAAAATTCTTTGAAAAAGTATTTTTTTAAAAATCCACGCTTCCAAAATTCATTGAAAAATATTTTTTAAAAAATCCACGCCTCCTATATTCATTGAAAAATATTTTTTAAAAAATCCACGCCTCCTATATTCATTGAAAAATATTTTTTAAAAAATCCACGCCTCCTATATTCATTGAAAAATATTTTTTAAAAAATCCACGCCTCCTATATTCATTGAAAAATATTTTTTAAAAAATCCACGCCTCCGATATTCATATAAAAATATTTTTTAAAAAATCCACGCCTCCTATATTCATTGAAAAATATTTTTTAAAAAATCCACGCCTCCTATATTCATTGAAAAATATTTTTTAAAAAATCCACGCCTCCTATATTCATTGAAAAATATTTTTTAAAAAATCCACGCCTCCTATATTCATTGAAAAATATTTTTTTAAAAAATCCACGCCTCCAAAATTCATTGAAAAATATTTTTTAAAAAATCCAGGCTTCTGATATTCATTGAAAAATAATTTTTTAAAAAATCCACGCCTCCTATATTCATTGAAAAATATTTTTTAAAAAATCCACGCCACCTATATTCATTGAAAAATATTTTTGTTTAAAAAATCCACGCCTCCAAAATTCATTGAAAAATATTTTTTAAAAAATCCACTCATCCAAAATTCATTGAAAAATATTTTTTTAAAAAATCCACGCATCTGATATTCATTGAAAAATATTTTTTAAAAAATCCACGCTTCTGATATTCATTGAAAAATATTTTTTTTTTTTTTAAATTCCACGCTACGGATATTCTCTGAAAAATATTTTTTTAAAAAATCCACGCCTCCAAATTTCATTGAAAAATATTTTTTTTTAAAAAAATCCACGCCTCCGAAATTCTTTGAAAAATATTTTTTTAAAAAATCCACGCTTCTGATATTCATTGAAAATTATTTATAAAAAATATTTTATAAAAATATTTTTTTAAAAAATCCACGCCTCCAAATTTCATTGAAAAATATTTTTTTTTTAAAAAATCCACGCCTCCGAAATTCTTTGAAAAATATTTTTTTAAAAAATCCACGCTTCTGATATTCATTGAAAATTATTTTTTAAAAAAATCCACGCTTCTGATATTCATTGAAAATTATTTTTTAATAATCCACTCCTCCAAAATTCACTGAAAAATATTTTTTAAAAAATCCACGCCTCAAAAATTCATTGAAATATTTTTTTTAAAAATCCACGCATCTGATATTCATTGAAAAATATTTTTTTAAAAAATCCACGCCTTTGATATTCAATGAAAAATATTTTTTAAAAAATCCATTTTTCCGATAACCATTGAAAAATATTTTTTTAAAAAATCTACGACTCCAAAATTCTTTGAAAAATATTTTTTAAAATATCCACGATTTTGATATTCATTGAAAAATATTTTTTAAAATATCCACGATTTTGATATTCATTGAAAAATATTTTTTTAAAAAAAATCCACTCCTCCAAAATTCATTGAAATATATTTTTAAAAAATCCACACATCCAAAATTCATTGAAAAATATTTTTTAAAAAATCCATGCTTCCGTTATTCATTTAAAAATATTTTTTTAAAAAATCCACGCTTCTGATATTCCTTGAAAATTAATTTAAAAAAAAAACCCACGCTTCGGATATTCCTTGAAAATTAATTTAAAAAAAACCCACGCTTCGAATATTATTTGAAAAATATTTTTTAAAAAAACCACGCTTCCAAAATTCATTGAAAAATATTTTTTAAAAAATCTACGCTTCTGATATTCATTGAAAACTATTTTTTAAAAAATCCACGCTTCGGATATTCATTGAAAAATAATTTTTAATAAAATCCACCCTCACGATATTCATTGAAAAATAATTTTAATAAAATCCACGCACACGATATTCATTGAAAAATATTTTTAAAAACTCCATGCTTCCGTTATTCATTTAAAAATATTTTTTTAAAAAATCCACGCTTCTGATATTCCTTGAAAATTAATTTAAAAAAAAACCCACGCTTCGGATATTCCTTGAAAATTAATTTAAAAAAAAACCCACGCTTCGAATATTATTTGAAAAATATTTTTTAAAAAAACCACGCTTCCCATATTCTTTGAAAAATATTTTTTAAAAAATGCACGCTTCGGATACTCTTTGAATTTTTTAAAACATCCACGATTCGGATATTCTTTGAAAAAATTTTTTTAAAAAATCCACGCTTCCGATATTCTTTGAAAAATATTTTTTAAAAAATCCACGCTTCCGTTAATTATTGAAAATTATTTTTAAAAGAATCCACTCTTCCGTTAATTGTTGAAAAATATTTTTTTAAAAATCCACGCCTCTGATATTTTTTGAAAAATATTTTGTTAAAAATCCACGCCTCCGATATTTTTTTTTAAAAATCCATCATTTTGTAACCATCCATGGGTGGCGCGTCCTGAGTGCGATAGTGCTGAGTCCTGTTGGTCCAAGTTCTACGGCTAAAATGGTTGCCGTTTTTGCATTTCACCCTGTACAAGCGTGGATTTTTTAAAAACAGTTTTTCAAGGCCTATCTTCAAATGTAGATTTTATAAAAATATTTTTTCATGGTCTACCTATAACGTGGATTTTTTAAAAATATTTGTTAAAGGAAATTCAATCGACTTGATTTTTTAAAGGATGTTCAATCAACGTGGGTTTTTAAAAATATTTTTTAAAGGATCATTTATCAAGGTGGATTTTTTAAAAATATTTTTTCAAGGCCTATCTAAAAACGCGAGTTTTTTTAAATATTTTTTCAAGGGCTATTGATAAACGTAGATTTTTTAAAAATATTTTTTCAAGGCCTATCTATAAACCTGGATTTTTTAAAAATATTTTTTCAAGGCCTATCCAAAAAATTGGATTTTTTAAAAATATTTTTTCAAAGGCGACCAATAAACGTGGATTTTTTAAAAATATTTTTCAAAGGCGACCAATAAACGTGAATTTTTTAAAAATATTTTTTCAAAGGCCACCAATAAACGTGGATTTTTTAAAAATATTTTTTCAAAGGCGACCAATAAACGTGGATTTTTTAAAAATATTTTTCAAAGGCGACCAATAAACGTGAATTTTTTAAAAATATTTTTTCAAAGGCCACCAATAAACGTGGATTTTTTAAAAATATTTTTTCAAGGCCTATCTATAAACGTGGATTTTTTAAAAATATTTTTTCAAGGCCTATCTATAAACGTGGATTTTTTAAAAATATTTTTTCAAGGCCTATCTATAAACGTGGATTTTTTAAAAATATTTTTTCAAGGCCTATCTATAAACGTGGATTTTTTAAAAATATTTTTTCAAGGCCTATCTATAAACGTGGATTTTTTAAAAATATTTTTTCAAGGCCTATCTATAAACGTGGATTTTTTAAAAATATTTTTTCAAGGCCTATCTATAAACGTGGATTTTTTAAAAATATTTTTCAAGGGCTATTGAACAAACAATATATTGTAAACAATATAATGAGATGACAGCAGTCTTAAGTTGGTTGTAGTTTTTTCATCTTACCCTGTAGGCCTTAATATATATTTTTTTATCCACGTTCAATATATAATCATTACAAAAATCCACATTTCATATAAACCTTAAAAATTATTTTTTAAATGACCCTTAAAAAATATTTTTAAGAAATCTACGTTTTTTATAGACCTTAAAAATATTTTTTTAAATCCACGTTTCATATAGACCCTAGAAATATTTTTTTGAAAAATGCACATTCAAAAAATATCCAATATTAAAAATAATTTAAAAATCCACTTTTATTAAGACTTTAAAAAATATTTTTTAAGAAATTCACGTCTTATATAAACCTAAATAAACACATTTTTTTAAAGAATTCACCGTCTATACAGACTAAAAATATTTTTTTAAAAAATCCATGTCGTGTATACGACTTAAAAATATTTTTTAAAAAATCCATGTCTTGTATATAACTTAAAAAATATTTTTTAAAAAATCAACGTCTTGTATGTGACTTAAAACAAAAAAATTAAAAATTGACGTCTTGTATGTGACTTAAAAAATATTTTTTTTTTAAATTAACGTCTTGTATGTGACTTAGAAAATATTTTTTTAAAAAAATCCACGTCTTGTATGTGCCTTAAAAATTATTTTTTTTAAAAAATTCACGTCTTGTATATGACTTAAAAATATTTTTTTTTTTAAATCCACGTGTTGTATATGACTTTAAAAATATTTTTTAAAATATCGACGTCTTGTATATGATTTAAAAAATATTTTTTTAAAAAATCCACGTCTTGTATATAACTTAAAAACTATATTTTTTTAAAAAATCCACGTCTTGTATATGACTTAAAAAATATTTTTTAAAAAATCCACGTCTTGTATATGACTTAAAAAATATTAAAAAAAAATTTAAAAATCCTCGTTTTGTATATGACTTAAAAATATTTTTTTTAAAAAATCCACGTCTTGTATATGACTTAAAAAATATTTTTTAAAAA